TCCAAAGTCTTCAGTTCTCAGACTCTTAGTGACAGTATGAAACAAATCTCGTCGATGCGTGAAGATTGAGGAGACAACAGTAGCCTGCTCTACGGCTGTGTTCGTCGAACTGTTGTGGAGCCACCCCGGATTTCCCCAGTGCACGTGCACCTTCACATGCCTCGGCTCAAACCGCAGCAAGCATCATCGCACTGGCTCACATGCCAGGTACACCATCTCCAACCTCCAGCACCGCCGTTGCGAGAAATGACAGTCTTCCCAGAGAGGATGTACACGGTCAACAATGGCCGCTCAGTCTACCTTGCGACAGCCTCATGACCCGCTCCTAGCACTCTATGACCGCTATGCGACGCTCCTCAAGTCCCGCGTCCGCGGCGCATCCAAGCTCACGAAGCTGCTATCCACCATCACCCTCCTCTTCACCATCATAGGCACCGGATATGGAGGTACGAGATGGTACAAGAGCCGGCGCGCAGAGAAGGAGACCGGCCGACGGTTGCTGAGGAGGAACTCCGGACTCAGGAACAAAGATGGCTCCAGAACCATTTACGTGCCCTACCGCGACTCGACGTCCAAGGTGGTCATCCATCCCACCAAGCAAACCACATTCGATGCGCATCGCAGACTCTTCCTCCAGCCGCCACGCGCAGCTCGCATGGCTGACACGACCTCGAGCGACCCGCAAGCGCCGCCACCGCAGACGAAGCCCGGCCTCAATTTGGCCTTCCTACACCAGTTCCTGAGCCTCCTGAATATCATGATACCGCGTTGGAATAGCAAGGAGACGGGTCTGCTGGTCAGCCATAGCGTCTTCCTCATGCTGCGGACGTATCTGTCACTCGTCGTAGCGCGTCTAGACGGAGAAATCGTGCGCGACCTTGTCGCAGGCAACGGCAAGGCATTCCTCTGGGGCATCGTCAAATGGCTTGGTGTTGGCACCTTCTCTTCGTACACGAACGCTATGATCAAGTTCCTGCAGAGTAAGGTCTCCATCGCGTTCCGAACGCGACTCACGCGGTACATCCACGACTTGTACCTGAACGACCATCTGAACTACTACAAGCTTCAGAATCTGGATGGAGGTGTAGGCGTTGGGGCAGACCAATACATCACACAAGATCTGACGCTATTCTGTGCGAGTGCGGCATCCTTGTACTCGAGCTTAGGAAAGCCGTTTGTGGATCTTTGTGTGTTCAACTATCAGCTCTACCGCTCTCTAGGACCGTTAGCGCTTACCGGTCTGCTGAGCAACTACTTCCTCACCGCGACAGTACTGCGGAAACTTTCTCCTCCCTTTGGCAAGCTCAAAGCTGTCGAAGGACGACGAGAAGGCGAGTTCCGTGCTCTGCACTCCCGACTCATCGCAAACGCTGAAGAAGTGGCTTTCTACGGCGGTGACGAGATGGAAAAGCACTTCCTGGAACGAGGATTCAAGGACCTTAAACACTGGATGGAAGGCATCTACAGTCTTAAGATCCGGTACAACATGCTCGAAGACTTCGTGCTGAAGTACTCATGGTCGGCTTTCGGTTACCTGGTTACTTCGCTCCCAGTCTTCTTGCCCGAATGGGGTGGTGTAGGAGGCACACCCGAGCTACCCGGAGGAGAGAAATCTCACCGCGAGCGCAGCCGTATGAAGGACTTTATCACAAACAAGCGACTCATGCTGTCGCTTGCCGATGCCGGCGGTCGCATGATGTACAGTATCAAAGATCTTTCTGAACTGGCCGGCTACACATCACGCGTCTACACCCTGATCAGCACTCTCCATCGCGTCCACGCAGAAGCATACTACCCTCCACCCGGCACGCGACCAGAACTCTATTCCGTCTCCGATATCCAAGGCACAGTCCACAAGGGATTCGATGGAATCCGCCTCGAACACGTTCCAGTCGTCGCCCCAGCCCTGCACCCCATGGGTGGAGAAGAACTCCTGGAATCCCTATCTTTCATCGTTCACTCCGGCGAGCATCTCCTCATCACCGGCCCCAATGGCTGCGGCAAGAGCGCCGTCTCGCGCATTGTAGCTGGTCTCTGGCCCGCATACCGCGGTCTTGTCAGTCGTCCCCGCAGCATCGGCGTGGACGGCATCATGTTCCTTCCTCAACGACCTTACCTCTCTACCGGCACCCTCCGCGACCAAGTCATCTATCCTCACACCGATGCCGATATGAAGGATGCAGGCCGTCGCGACTTTGAACTCTCGCAGGTCCTTGAAGAAGCCAAATTGGGCTACTTGCCCGATCGAGAAGGCGGCTGGGACACGAAGAAAGTATGGAAAGACGTCTTCAGTGGTGGCGAGAAACAGAGAATGGGCATAGCAAGGTTACTCTATCACGAGCCGCGATACGCATTTGTTGATGAGGGCACCAGTGCGGTTAGCAGTGATGTCGAAGGCCTGCTGTATGAACGCGCGAAAGCCAAGGGCATTAGTAAGTATTCCATTTCCCTTGTCATGGTGACTTCAACTGACTCACATACTCCAGCATTGATCACGATATCCACGCGCGCATCCCTAAAGCGCTACCACGATTACACACTAACCCTCGGCATGGGCGACCACGGCGACGAATGGGACTTTCAACGCATAGGCACTCAGTCTGAGAAGTCGAGCGTCGAGAAGGAGCTAGCAGAGCTGAGGGAAAGGCTTGCGAAAGTCGAGGAGTGGAAGAAGAGACGAGAGGAAATCGAGGCGGAGTTGAACAGGGTGTGGGTTGAAGGCAAGGACGAAGAGGGAGAGGCGGAGAGCGAGGAACTTGCACCACCGCCATATTTGGAACGAGAGGAGAACATCGACACAGCGGAGAGAGACGAGGATGATGTTGGCGATCGAGATCAAGAGGAGGCGGTCGAGAGTGGGAGTGAAGGAATTTCTCCGTCCAGCTAGTCTAGGTATCGAAACACATCATTCTTCCCGACCAAGTCAGCTCTGCAACACCCAAAAAACGTTACATGCCTTCTTTTGACTTTTCTCTAAGGTACATGATGATGGCAAAAAAAAAAAGAAGAGAAATGGGCAAAAACATACAACAGCGGGTGGTCCCTGGTGGTCACCCACCCGAGTACTAATCCGCCGGTATCCTGCTTAAGTACCGCTGAGCGAACGGGAAGCGCTGGTCGTATGTGAAAGTTTCGGTTGTCAAATTGGATTATAATGAGAAGGGTTGGGTGCGGTTGACACTTTTGCTCCAGGAGACCACATATACCAGGCTGCAGACGGCGGCACCCGCTGTTTGCTTGTTGCGACTGAGTCAGAGAGAGAGAGTATAGGAAACATAGTAGAGGAGGTGCGCAAGAGATGTCACGTTTCTCTCATCGAGATGATCATCGCAGGGAGTGGGCAACAGGTTTCCATTCACCCAACTATCAAGATCCTGGTGATCCAAGCTTGCGTCGTGGAGCCGCCCTCCCGTAGTTGTCCAGCATCATTATCCCATTGTGTCATGAGACAAAAGCGATTATGTATTCTCCAACCCGATTTTCCGCGCGCATGGAGCGTCGTACCGGCATCGACGCGATCAAGCCGGAGGTGCTGGGTGATCGTGATACCTTGAACATATCAAAGGCTTGATGTACGTGCCCCAGTTGGCCTGGCCGAAAGGCAGCTTCCCATACCCTGCACTTGACGGAATGGGAGTGCTTCCAAGAGCCATGAGGGCCATCAACACATCTCCAAGGAAGTCTTTTGGATATTGTGTCAATCCCCGTGATCGTTGGATCGGGTCGACAAGATCTGAGAAACGAAAGTTGTTGACTGCGAAATCCAAGAGGACCTTGCGCAGAGCTGATCCATGAAGTGTGTTCTCATAGACATAGGCGAGATCTTGGTTTGGGAACATCCACTCATGATGCAGCTTCTGGGTAACCAGGTCAACCGTGGCGTTGCAGAGCTCAGGAGCTCCCCGGGCGTCGCCGAAGACATAGATCTCACAGATGAGTTTCGTGCTTAGAGGAACTTTCCCTGACGCGTCGAGGGCCGAGTAAAGCTTCCCTGTATAGATCCAGCTAAAGAACGCCAGGAAGACCTCAGGGTTATCATCCTCCAGATTGACGGTTTCAGGCGTTCTCCAACAATTCTTCAAGGCAGCTTTGAAGTAGGATGAATAGTGCGCAAGGAGGCCTGAGTAGACATGAAATTCGCGCCTGTTGTCCTGTTTACCGACTGTAACCTTGACTATCGAGCCGTAGTGGTCTCTGTTGTATAGATTAGCAACTTCCACAGATATTCAGCCAGTCTTGTGCTTACGGTCTAGGTGGAGCAGCCACGGTCTTCGAGCATCGGGGCAGCTTGAGCAACGGAGTGACGTTTGGGGGCTCCTCTTTCTTCTCTGGAGTCGCCATCGCTTGCGATTGTGTTGTCGTGGTATCTGGCCACAGCCGTGATAGGTGTTTCAATGGATTGGATTGATATGACGGTGACGGTGAAAAGTACTGGGCCTAGTAGCGCGGTCTTGGCAGTGAGCTGAAGAGGCAGGAGCGATGGACAGGGTCCAGTGAGCGGTGATGAGCCGGGTTCACCGACTAGAGACTACCGTCTGTTTTTCGCTTTGAGGTATACGTATCACCAATAGTTGGAACTTACTCACCGTTTGGACCGATGTCGTCCCCAAGGCCCACTCTGAGTGGCAGGCTCTGGATTATACACTTCGACATTCACAGCGGTCCTTACACAGCATAGCCTCTTTCTCCTTTACCAGAATGCTAAAATGACTGAAGGGAGGACTCAGTAGCTTCGGGTTACTGACCCCGTTGTTTATGCTGGCAACATGACCAATGAACTCCCGCGCCAGACATACCTACTCTTTCACCAAAGTTGCAGTACTTCTTCTCAATGATTGTACACTAATCTCATTTCTCTTTCTCCCTATTGGAGAAAACGCCAGACCATGCAAATGCTACTCGCTCTTTCTACGATTGTACAACTACTAATACATAATTTTTCCCTTTTCCAACACGCTCGCTAAACCCCAAAGTCGCTTAATAGAAAGAATTGCGTATTACTAGTATTTCTTCTTTCTGTGCCGCACATGAGGATCCTGTCCCTTTCGGTTCCTCTTCTGCCGGTCCGTTGGCGGCCGGTACGGTTCTTTGCCGTACTCTTCCCGGTACAGGCTAAGCATATATTCATCGACGTGTCTTCGCTCCTTCTCGTTGCCGTCGATGTCGAGGTCTTCGTTCGCTTTGGCGGCAGCGGCGGCCTCCGAGGCGGCTCTCGTGGCGTTGAGACTCTCGTTGAAGTCGACTTGATCTTCTTGAATCTCGTCCACAATCTCCTTCTGTGCGATGGAAGCTGCCGTGCGATCCTCGGTATCCTCCACTGTGCCCATGACACGCGCATCACCTAGCAGTCCAATCTTCTCGCCGAGCACACGTTCCATGGCTGCGCCCGCTTCGTCGTTGGTGTCAATTCCCAAGTTCTCGTCGAGTGCATCGCGCCAGGTGACTTTGTTGAAGGTGTCTGTGGTGAAGTCACCCTTTTGGATAATGACATCATCGAGGAGACGTTTCTGGTTCGACTTGCGGAGGATATTGGCTTCGATAGTATATTCGCTAACGAACTTGTAGATGTGCACATCGCGCGTTTGACCGATACGATGGGCTCGGTCTTGACACTGCTTGTCCATCGCGGGGTTCCAATCAAGATCATAGAAGATGACGCTGTCAGCACCCGTGAGATTGATACCGAGACCACCAGATCGAGATGACAGGATGAAGCATAAGATGCGGGGGTCACTGTTGAAGCGATCAGTAAGAATCTGGCGCTGTTCGATCTTGGTAGACCCGTCAAGGCGCAGGTAGCGATATCCGTGAATGTTTAGGAATTGCTCGAGAATGTCGAGAACCTTTGTCATCTGGGTAAAGATGAGCGCACGGTGGCCACCAGCCTGTAGATCTCGAAGGAGTGTTGCAAGACGCTGAAGCTTGCCACAGTCGTATTGAAGGAGACGCTTGTCCGGGAAGGCGATCGATTGTCGGATGCGCGAAGAATGGAAGGGGTCTTTTTCGTGTGCTGCCTCCGACGATCGAATCAGCTGGACACCGCGCCTGGATAGGGTCAGAGGTGCTAATTCCTCGGCCGCAACGGCAGGCGTAACGCATGTGAAGCGGGTAATGAGAGGCTCCATAGCCTCAGCACGCTGCTCCAATGTTGGGATCATATCATAGAAATGGGTAATTTGTTGATCGTGCCAATGCGACAAGACACGATGAGAGCGCGGTGACCTGAATCCGAGTAGACCATGATGACGTTGAACGATGTCATAGTGAATCGTTTCCTCTTGTCTTGGTTGCATTTGAGCCTGACCGAAGCCGTGGTAGTTGGGATGTGGAGTGTGATGGGTTCGGTAGAGGAGAGGCTTAGCCACTCTCTTCCCTTCAGTGATAGCCCCAAATGTAAAATCGTGCCAATCAACGGTCAGTGCGTCAATGATGTCCTTTCCGTAAATCGGCATAAACTGGGTACGCGTGCGAGTAAGGTTAAGACATGTTTGCAGATGATCTCGAACGGCCACTTGCTCTCGCTTCGCCATCGCTGCCATAGTCGCTTGTAGTGAGGAAGTGCCCTTGTCGATGGGTTTGTTGATGCGCCGTGTTTGACGCTCGATCAGATCCTCCAGGGGCCGTGTGGCGCGAATAGGGTAGGTGCGTCTAGCATGACCCAACTGCGTCTGTTCCCGTCGCGCAAACACCAAGTTCAAGGCGTCTAGATTTACTTGCTTATCTTCCATGCCCTCTTGCATACGCTTCCTGATGAGAAGGTCCTTGATCTCGTACTGAGCAGCGACTGACTTGGGCATGGCCATGGACGTTACAATGGCTCGTGTTTCGAACAGGTCGGGGTGATTGCAGACTTTTCGTAATGACATTAAGCAATTGATAATCGACATGTAGTTGCCGGAGGACAGGATCTCCTTGGTCGAGGCGCGGCCCATGAATCCATCGTAGAGCTGACGTTGCCGCTTAGAAAGCTTGCAGTAGACAACGTGCTCATATTTCCCTGGCATTTGCTTCTCAACCTCTGATTTCAGCCTTCGCAGCAGATAAGGGCGAAGGACTTCGTGAAGCCGCTTGACAACCTTCTGCGCTTCGGCATCAAGCTGCTGCCGACCTTGATCGAGAATTTGCGAGGTGGGATTCTTCAGAGCCAAGGTAAACTCCTCTAGTCCCGCAATGCGACCTTCTCCAGCAAAGCCAGCTGGCATTAAGAAGTAGAGCAGCGACCAAAGCTCATCGATGTTGTTTTGTAGAGGCGTACCGGTCAGTAACAACCGTCGTTCTGTTCTAAGGTTAAGCATAGTCTGCCATCGTTGAGATTTGAAGTTCTTGATGTTGTGGGCTTCATCGAGGACTAGGTAACGCCAGGGACGCATCTTGAAGGCTGCTGCGTCTTGGAGGATGAGCTGATAGGAGGTAATGACGACGTTGTACATATCCTTGCCAGTATTGCGCCAGCCCATGCGCTTTCGTTTTCGCTCGTTGATGTCGCCATAGTAAGTCAGAATCTTGAAGCCTGGCAAGAACTTCTTGAACTCCATCTCCCAATTGAGCATGACACTGGTGGGTACGACGACTAGATGTGGTCCCCATATCTCGCGACGAACAGCGAGGTAGGCGAGAAGTGAGATGGTCTGTATAGTCTTGCCCAGACCCATCTCGTCTGCGAGAATTCCGTTTGTCTCGGATTCGTACAAGTTCGCCAGCCAGTCCAAACCATCGTGCTGGTATTCTCGGAGGGTACCGCGTAGTAAGGATGGCACCTCGGTCCTTGGTGGTGATGATGTATGCCGTGATCGAGAAGCGCTTTTAGAATGTACTACATCTTCCATCGGAGTTGGCTCAGCTGCCTCGACGGTAGGAGCAGGTTCTGTTTCAGAATGCCCGTTCACATGTGGCTCGTCTACTTCAGCGACAGAATCATGACCATTCACATGTGGCTTCTCCTCATAGACTTCCGCGGGCGATGTAGCATGGCCATTCGTTTGTTCGGGCTGATTTGTCGGGTCTTCCGGTTCCACATCGTCAATCGCGGTCTTGGCGGCCTCTTTCAGTTTCTTGATGTCTTTAGGTGCCAAGAAACCCATCATGCCTAAGTCTTCTCCTTCACTCTCATCCTCGTCGTCTTCTTCCGAGCCGGCTTCTTCATGACCATCACCCTCGCTATCCGAACCTTCGTTGCTCGACCAAGCTTCACTACCAGATTCCGAGCCCTTGTCGTCCTCAGAATCGAGCAAAGCATCATCAACCTGATCGAGCTCCACTGTAGCAGGATCGATATAGTCTGGCTTCTGTTTATCCCCATCTTCTTCGTGGTCGTGAAAGCCGTTCGTCTGTTGAAATGGGTTCTCTGGAAGCTCGTTCGTGTTGTCGACATCGAGGTCGGGATCGGGTGTTGGCGCAGGAGTGCCCTCTTTGGAATCAGCGTCGTCATCGTCTTCGCCGTCGTTTGAGTTGACTTCCGCCTCGGAGCTGCTCTCGGGGAGATCGGGAAGTTGTCCGTACTTCTCGCGTAGTTGTTCGGCCGTGAGGTTCGCATCTTCGTCCTGCTCGTTCTCTTGTTCGCTATCGGAGCTGGAAGACATGACATCGTCGTCGTGCTGTTGTTGTGAGGCATGCGACACCCCGCTTTCGGATTCCATCTCATCGAAATCACGGTCTTCGCTGACCAAGGAGGAGGCCCCGTCGCCAGCGTTACGACCACCCAGAATCTCTTGCGCTTGATTGAACATGTCGTCCATGGCCTTGTGTCCGAGCTGCAACTGTTCCTCCTCATATTTAGCCACACGCTCCTTGTCGATCTCAACCCTGACCAAGCCCCATGCGTCCTTGACATCCTTCACGAGCTGCTTGTATCTCGTCACTTGCCGCTCGGTCTCTTCCTGTTCGATCTCATCTTGGCTCTTGCGCTTGAACTTGTTCTTCCAGAAGTCGTATGCTTCTCTGGCCAAGATCTTAGCCGTCCGCCGATGAAATGCCTTTTCCTCCTTCAATAGCTTGTTGAAGTGCAGGGCATGAGCGACCACGTGGTCCCAATGCCCATATTGTGGCGGTGGCTCTGGGGCTGCTTCAGGCGCATATACGCTGCATCGTGCCTGGCTTAGAACTCCATGTTCAGCAGCCTCGACGATCTGCAGCCGGCGCTCGGCCTCTTCCTCGGCCTTTTCCTGTGTGATCCGAAGCGCCTCTTCGCCGTCTAACGGGTCGTCTTGTCCTAGCCACTCTTCGAGCGACGCGTACTCTGACTTGGGCGGGGCATGGTGGGGATGGCGGTTGGGAGGGTCGGGCTTTCGCAGTCGCAGGCGGAGACGAGGGGCAGGCATAGATGGGTTCGAGTCGTCGGGCGATCCATACAGACCGGCGTAGGGGTCGTGTCCGTTCGTTTCGGCATCGTCCATGGGCTCGTCACCTAGATCATCGGTAAGTGGCTGCGCTCCCCTCCGAGAGCGCCCGACCCGCTTGCGCGTGCCTTCGGGCGACCCATTCTGCAGTGCTGGCGACGTGACGGGCGAAGTTGTCGCAAGTGCTGGAGGCTTTCTCTGGCGCTCAGACTTGCGCGCCGGCGTTGCCAGAGACTGTGCGGACACCTTTTTGGTGATGGTGGATGGCGTCTTCCCTTTCGAGACAGACATGGGTCCTGAGCCATTGCGCGACTCTCGCTTGACGCCGTTCTTAGGGGTGCCGTTGGTCTGCGTCGCCTTGCTGGCCGGGCGAGAATTCCGCTTTACAGGTTCCGGCGTTGGCGGTGCAGCATCCTTGCTCACACGTGATGATTTCCTGACGCCATTCTCGAAGACTGTCGTCGGTCCGTCAGCCACGAATGACTTCCAGGGCGGCGATGCGGCGCGTGATGCTGAGCGGCGCGGTGTGGTGTCTTCGAGTTTCCGCCGTTTTGGCGGCCGCTCAATGACGCCACCATCATCGCCATTTACAGGTGCCGGCGGATGTTCCTCCTTGATCACAGGTGCGCTGTCGTTCTCGCTCTGTTCGCCATTGTGTGTGATGTCGGATGGGTTGTGTGCGGCGGCCGAGTCGCGTGGTGGGATGGAGTCGATGTCGCGATCCGCGGCGGTAACTTCTTCCATTCAGGAAGGGCGAGAGAGGCGGCCTGGGGAGCCTGTTGACCACCCGGCGCGCGGCCAAATCGACATATATCAGCTCGAATTCGGAGTCGCAAGATAGCCTGACGCGTGCTGGTGACGGTGATGGGGTCGGATTTCAAATTCGGGCTCGCGTTGGGATGATGCGGTGTTATGTCGAAGTTGTGAGATGGTAAAAACAGAGCCGGCGATAATGTTTGGTAGGGATCACGCTAAATACCGGCACGGGCGCGCATGCCATCCCTTTGACTTGAACGACGGCGGAATGCTGGATATCACGTCTGAAAATGCTGTGACTGAGGCTGTCTAAAACCTCCGCAGATTCTTGCAGGCAGGCGCCGGGTTGCTCAGTCGCGTAGACACCTTTCGTGTCACATCCATGACCGGTCGTGGTACTACGCAGAGCAGTTAGACCCACTTCTCCGCCAAGCATTACCGGGGCCGCAACTGAGCTCATCGCGAACGACACATCAATACTGCAACCCATCCAACCCCCGCAATTGCGCCGCAACGTACGAAGACACCGAAGATACGCATCGCGCAAATACTCACTCGGCTCTAGCATGTTCCCCAGGCGCATTGTAGCGGCACGCCCGCTGGCTCGAGCCGTCGTCCCCGCGGTAGCCCGGCCACGACCCCAATTCACCCAAATCCGAACCGCCCTCACCGACGCTGAGAAGGCCCACGCTGAGCTCACAGACCCGAACCAAGTACGCTCACGTTTTCTAGAGGAGGAAGGAAGGACCTAGTGCTGATGGTGACAGAACGGCGGCTACATCAACCCTCCCGCTGAGAAGCGAGGAAACCGCGACCCGTACGGCGACTACTGGGACAAGCAGGAGCGCCGCAACTATGGCGAGCCCTGCCACGAGGACAACGATATCATGGGTGTACTAGCGCTCCACGACTACAACCACTTCACCCCCCAATGGGGCTTCGTCCTACTGGGCACCTTCGTCGCTTCTGTCTTCGGACTCTGCGCGGCTGTTGGTACCTTCTACCCCGACAAGCTCAGTGCGCCCAAGACATACCCAGATGGTCTGGAGGCTGAGCTGGGTGGAAAGGGTGCATTGCTGGTAGGTATATTGTGGACTTTTGAGGACTATTGCTAACGGTGTATAGGCAAGGAAGCCCGGTGAGGGCTGGTAAATTGTATGCAGACTCAACTGACATGTACATACAACCGAATGGGATTCTCTTTGTCAATTCAATACCCAGTTATCGTCCTAGGCTACTTTGATTTTGAGCTCCATCGCCAATCCAGTCTCAAATACTAATGCATTCATCCCGTTCTGGTTCAATTGGACGCTGATTCGAGAACCTGGAACCACTCCGTCAATACAGCACTCTGCGTTGCGTGCGAGATAATGCGTCTCGGCATCCTCTTAAAGACCGGCATCCTACGACACCCACCCAGGGGCACCGCTCGCCACTACGTCATCCCAGCAATCCAGGAGCACAACCTCGTGGGCCCCATGCATTCCGCAATCCATGCCCAGGCCATGAGGGAACTCAAGTTTCTACTGGCCACGGACTGGTCCACCCTTGTTGCATGCTCACTTTGTCGGTAACCGCCCAGGGTACTTGCTAGGATCCGATTGGTCAACCCACATATTTATACAAGCAATCAACAGGACCATATACGGCAGTTGACTTTAGAACCTTCTATGGGAAAGGATCCTTCGATGAAACTACCCGACATGGCGAACCGTGAACATGATGTGGGGTGAGTTCCATGTGGAGACCTTGCTTCGAACGTCACTCATGATATATTATGAGACTCATGTACCACAACAGCACGTTCCCTGAAACTCAACATCGAAATCCCATTTTCTCGTTGTCATTGTCCACTTGGATCGTTCATACCACTTGATCGTCAACATGTATTGGTCCTCGCTCACGCTCACGCTCACCTCTTTGTTCCACAATGTCGCAGCATCGCCGACTCACGACCTCGAGGCCCGACAGTTTGCAACAGCGGCGATGCTACGTTTCCAGTGCTCTCAACTAGTCTACGACCGTATCGACCCACTTGTCCAACCCGGCATTGCACCTTCAGCACACATGCGTAAGCGATGCCCATATACTACCTTGATACAGTACATATACTAAATTTGCATGTCATTGGTTAGACCAGATCGTCGGCGGAAACGCCTTCAATGTCTCCATGCCACCGCTCGACCTCGACCCCAGCACGGAAGCCACTTGCACAACCTGCGATTTTGCCGAAGACCTCTCAAACTACTGGACCGCGAATCTCTACTTCAAAGCGCGTAACGGCACCTTTCAACGCGTCCCACAGATGGTCAACTTGGGTCTACAAGGCAGAGAAGGCGTTACGGTGTACTACATTCCGCCATACGACGGGAAAAGTACGGTGACCGCGTTCCCCAAGGGTTTCAGGATGTTGGTTGGTGATCCAGGCTTGAGAGCTAAGGAGGGTCAGCAGAAACAGCTCTGCCATCGTTGTTTCACGAACAAACAGCAAGATCCTTTTGGTGGAGCACCGTGTATTGGAGAATTCGACACAGCGAGCTTGCCACCGGGCATCTGTGGGGGTGGGATCAGAACGACTATTACATTCCCAACGTTTGTGGACTCTATTTCACCTGGCTTCGAGCGTATCGCTAATCTTGAATATAGATGCTGGGATGGCAAGAACGTTGATTCTCCAAACCACAAAGACCACGTCGCGTACCCTACATCTGGCTCTTTCGAATCTGGCGGTCCTTGCCCATCGACTCATCCAGTAAAGATGCCTCAGCTCATGTACGAGGTCATGTGGGATACTACACCTTTCAATGACGCGGCTCTCTGGCCTGAGGACGGGTCGCAGCCGTTTGTTTACAGCATGGGCGATGCGTGAGTGGCGTGCAGCGACTGTGGGACAACAGCACTAACTATGTGTAGGACTGGCTACGGTCAGCACGGTGATTATGTCTTTGGCTGGAAAGAGGGTGCGCTGCAGAAAGCTATGGACCAACGCTGCTTCGGGAACACATGCACGGGGTTGACGACACAGGCTGCCGATGTGTCGACAAAGTGTGGGGTACCACAGGCTGTGAAGGAGCCGGTTGAAGGATGGCTCGATGAGTTGCCTGGTGGTCCAGTCGTGACCTATGAGTGATCCGGGTCAATCAAACTGAACCGTGGGAGGGTAACGTACAAACGTGGGCCAAACTTATCCCTGCAAGTAACCCGACATTCGTTGTAATATGTTGACGTCTATAGAAGAACGATTATTTCGTTAATAGCATATCGCGCTCGCTTGAAAGACTCCGCTGGCTTTTTGGAAGATTTCCTATCAAAATTGTCCAGTGGTCGTGTTGTGCGCAGACACCGGAACGAGCAATCGGCCGCTCACCGCGGTTGGACTTTCGTTGTCATACAAACGGCTGATCTTGCAAGGGACGCGTCCGCACCCTCCACTCCCACCAATTTTCATCATAATCGCCATGCGTCAATGTGAAGAAGACAAGGTGAGCCAGAAGAGGAAGGAGTGCCAAAGGCGCGAAGCGAATGTTGCGCTTTCGCATGTTATCATCCACGAAGATCCTGCAGGAAAAGATGAGACACCAGTACCCGGACATGATGAGAAGCTACCGGCGAAAGACGTATCGCCAGATCCTTCTGACGCTGCTCAGTCACTTCGCCCTCTACCGCAGATCTCGCGCAAAAGACAACGCGAGCCTAGTTGCGAGTCACGAGACCCGTCACTTAAAGAGTCGATTGTGGATACATCACAGCGTGATTCCACCGACGTACACAGCCCGTACTCAGAATCAGCAACCGCCCCATTGGAATACTACATTCGCCTAGCCTCAAAGTCCATGTCGCTCCCAACTCCTTCCGACTCGTACTTCACCTCACCAGAGCACGCGCCAGTACTCCACCGCAATCGCGAGAACAAGATCATAATGTACACAGGCTCCTTCAACCCACCGCATCTTGGTCACCTCGAACTGGCCTTCCACACATTCCTACGCAGCTCCTCCACCACCATCGCCGTTGTCTTCCTTCCATTTCGCGATAAACTCAAAGCGAAAGACGGCGCTATGGTCAACGGAAAGGTCTTCGCCACTGAAAAAGAACAAAGAATCGCGCTACTACAAAACGACCTACTGCAGCGCTGGACTTGGTTTCACAGAGGCCATCGCACAGATTTCGAAAAATACGGGGCTACTCTGATCAAAGAAGCGAAGAAAGACGGATTCCAAGTTTCCTTTGTAGTCCTAGCTGGAAGCGATAAATTCGAACGCGAAAAAGTCGAAACAAAGCCCTCTTGGCTCATAGGATGGGGAGAAATAATCACCAGCGACATCACACGGCCGTCTAGTCTGTTCAAGGGTCCAGAGCGTCCGCCCACACGGTTACCTGGATGTAGATCTTGGCGCTTAATCTCTACACCAACCAGCAGGAAGGGAGACTCCAGCTGGGAATGCGGAGGCGCGAATCATGAATGTCGCATCTCTCTACGGATTCAAGAGTACTGCGGTGGACATGCTGCTTTGGAAGGCGAACCGCATGTCCGATCAAGGCAAGACAGTTTGCTACATGCAATTCTGGTAAGATGCCATGAGGGAGTGGGGGCGACATGGGTTTGCCACAAGAAGAGTGGGGGTACAGTGACGTTTTTGGGTAGTGGAAGAGATACTGAGGGCGATGAGAAGAGAGAAGAGGTTAGTTCTTCGGCTATCAGAAAGATATTGAGTGGAGGTGGTAATCGCGAGGAGATGTCGACAAAGTTGGAGAAGGTCATGATGAACCCAGAGTTACTGCTACACTATCTTGAATCGGATGGATAAGCAACAGAGGAGCCGCAGATCGCGATACATCCTCAACACCCTCCTCAATCTAATCCACGGATTATATAGAACTACCAGATCTTCGCCAACGCCTCAAGCCCTTCAATGGAAAGCAGGATAGCCATGCTCTAACATTTGTGGTATTGAACGCCAGTGAAATGGTCATCAAAGTCCATCGCT